AATGGATACCAAACTTTCATGCAACACCCACGTGTTCCAGAAGAAAATTGGAGAAGTTTGAAGCAAGGCATCAAAGTTCGAACGCCAATCAATGTTTAAACGCCCATCTACAAATAATTGAGGGCCCCTGGAAGAGTGCTAGGGTGATGGCATATGGCGTGTTTTAGTTATTTTCACAGCAGAACAAGAGCTACTTGAGTACAATGTTCAAACGCCAATCAACGTTTGAACGCCATCTTGATTATTTGAGGGCCAGACTGCCAGGGTGATGAGACATGGCTTGCTATCTACTATTGGTGACAAGATCCACTTGAGTTCCACGTTCAAATTCCATTAAGTGTTCAAATGCCCATAACAAAAGATAGGCTTCAATGTTCGAACGCCATACTATGTTTGAACGTAGTCCCCAGATAGCCTGCAGAGTGGTTGATTTTCTATCCGGACCTTGGGGCATTCACTTTGACTTTGAGGACTTTGAACTATTCTTTTACTCTTCTTTAACCCCTCCTCATTGCCTATAAATACTTCCATTGTGGGAGCTTCAAAGAAGAGACTTAGATTTACACTTGCACTTAGATAGATAAACATACATAGAGAGAGATAGATCATCTTTGGGTTGAGGATGAAACCCTCCAAAAATGACTACCTTTCTACATGCACTTGCACTTAGATAAACATACATAGAGAGAGATAGATCATCTTTGGGTTGAGGATGAAACCCTCCAAAAGTGACTACCTTTCTACTTTTATTATTAGTTTCATTAGCTTCCATTGTTTGAGCTTCCTTCTTCCCTTAGAGGAGTGAAACTCTTCCACTTTTTTAGCTTTACCAAAGCCATGAAGGGTGAAAAGTGTTTCACTCATTCTTCGTTGAAGATAGACTCCTAGTGTAATGCATTTTACCTTGTAACTCCTCTACTTGGAGGGATAAAAATCACTCACTTTTCTAGCTTTCTCAAAGTCATAAAGAGTGAGTAGTTTCTCATTCGCTCTTTAGTAAGAGGTGATGGACATGCACAAATTATTTGGAATTTATATTTGTGCATTTCATTTATGCTTAATGCTTTGTCTTTTACTTGCTTATTGAATGATTGAATACATCTAGCAAAGCTAAGGTACTTTGTACAACCATGAGTCCTTTCTATGACATAGATGACTCTTGGCATAGGAAGACTCATTGGATCTTTCCAAGTACTCCAGCTAGATCTTCTTAAATACATTTTAATCTTTACTCTTATTATGCTTCAACTACGAACGGAATACTAATACAGTGGTTGGATGCCTTGTAGAAACACTTACTTGTTTGTAGGCGGGTTAAGTCTCGGCACAAACAATTCTTGTAAATCTCTACAAAGATATCATAACTATGCTCTTAATTCTCACAATCTATCTTTATCCTCCGATTAACTTTATGTTGACACAGGGGTTAATTAAGTTCCTAAGCACAAGTATAACAATCGGATGATTGACTACATGTCCAAACCGTCGAGCTAAAGGGTGACTTTTACATTTGAAAGAATATTATATTTTGTCTAGGAAATCCCCTTGGAAAGAATATTATATTATGTCCAGGAAAATCTATAAAGATCATCACTTCAAATCTCAAGGGTTCCAGTCATTTTGGTCTCTGTCACTACTTACCTCGAAACACCAACATTGTTCCCTGTGGATTCGAATATGGACTTAACCGAATTACTACTACAACTTGACCGCCTACACTTGGGTGTACACATTTCGGATCAAGTCAAGTTTTTGGCGCCGTTGCTGGGGAGCCAAAAAGGTGTTTTAAAGTAAAAGGTGAAAATACCTTCATTTGGGTATATATATTTTGATTTATTGTGTATAATTCTTATTTTATGTCTGATGAAG